TTAATTATTTATAGGCATATGCAATTTTCGATCATTATTAGTTTTTTTTAAATTAATATCGATAAAAATGTATTTGTTAGGTAAAAAGGCTTGAAAATTGATTACAAGGCTCCTAACATATCGTTACAATAGCAGTTGAAAAATAAAATAAATACATATTAGTCACAACTTTTTTTATAAACATTCAAAGTTTGAATTTTGACAAAATTCATAAAATCACGAAAATTCGCAAATTATTTTAAGCTAGAAATTCATAAAAAATTTCCTTTTTAAATCTAAGATTTTAAAATTTTTAATCATCTATAATATATCCTAGACAGATAAACCGTCTCCGCTCAGAATCGTTGATCGTATACAATGATATAATATCATTGGATTCAAATTTAATTACATCCATTACAGTAACCAACTGTACAGCAGAGCGACATCCACGACTTACCCGCTTTTTTCCGTTTAAAACTATTGGTATTTAATTTCAAAATTGCTTATACTATACYTTATCCTCATATACTATTACTGTACAGTGTACCTACCATGTAAAGATGTAAAGTGCATTTCATTGTTAGAACAGTAATAACTGATAAAAGAAATAAAAATAAAACTAAATAACAAATGTTTTTACCATTATAATAATGTACAGGATATAATAATGTATATTTTTGCTTCTGGTCGTTAAATAATGCACAGATCCGTGCCGGACACCACAAGAATATTGTATCTTCATAACTGTGTGTTGTTATAAGCAAAAGTTTAACATCAATTATGCAGCTAAAATGTTAATTTTTTTTAAAATTTCAATGTTAGAAGCCCGTTAGTTAACTTTTTAACACATTTTTTAATTAACTATCTAACAATCGGTATAAATGAAAATTATAATAATTTAGCGTATATCAGTTGATTCTAAAAATAATATGTTGTGTTTGTTTATAGAGAATAGAGATACATTCTCTCTATAACCGGGGTTAATACTTCGAAGTTAATATTTATCATGTTCATTATAGGTATTTCTTTTTGAACTCATTATTTATCTTCGTTTTTCAATGATAATACAAAAATTGAGTTTACGTATTCCGATGTCTGAAAAAAAGCTAGTGAGAGGAACCTCTGACATTCTCCATTCACAAATATTCATCTTCGAGGTGTAGCTAAGGGAGCTTTACTAACTTCAATTGTAGTTTATACATTTCACTTAGACATTACTTTTTACACTGCTTAACTTTCGTATTATACTAGCTTAATGCGCAGTTTTGGAATGAATAGAAATTAGATTTTGTTCGCGATGAAAAAATGTAATGTCATCACAATACATTACTATCCTCTTCTGGCGTGAACGTTACTAGACCAGTGCCCATTACCCATCACTTGTTCTATTATTTAAAATAATAATAAAAAATATATTGTAAATAAAATATTTAATTGAGTCTAATAT